TCAAAAACAGACTAATCCTCTCCAAAGCAAATCAACTGTACATCTCCACTACTACACCAAGCACACCAAGTACACCAAGCAGGACAAGGCAGAGGCTCCTGGGCTCCCTCACAAGACTCTCTCAATATAAGTTACCAACCGTCCAAGTGCGTATTCCTTCAACCATCCAATATCTCCTGAACACCCGCCTGACAAAGTTGCAAATATCCCATGTGATATTGCATCAAAAAATGTAGAGAAGGCAAGTGCGTGGTGGTGGCGGCAGCAGTGGTGGTTAGGCTGTGCCAATGAACCTACCACCCAACACTGGGTCATTGGTTCACTGCATCGTTATTATTTTTATATCATGGATTATATTTTGATAAATAGCAATTTTCACAACAGATATGTGTATTTCCTGTATTGATGGGGCTCTGACCTGGAATCAGAGCAAACATTCAAATTCATATTCATTATTTCTTTTCTGCAGTATACAGGTAATGTAGTTTATATGTAATAAAATATTGTTAGGCACAAAAGAAAGCCACTAACATGAAATGCATTTTGAATCAGGATAACCCAAGACAGCCTAGCAGTGTGATAAGATATAAGATTTTGTTTAGATTTTTAACCCAGAGGGTTAGCCACCCAGGTTAGATTAACTAAGAAAGTCAGTGTGTCCGCAAGGACTGTCTGTCTTGCTCTCAATGGGGTCCTTCAATCTTTTCCCCTATGATGTGACCCACACCAGTTGGCTAACACCCAGGTACCTATTTCCTTGCTAGGTGAATGGGGACAGCAGGTGTAAGGAAACACGCCTAATATTTCCACCCAGCTGGGGATCAAACACAGTGTGTGAGGCAAGGGTGTTGGTTACCAGGCCAAGTGAATTATATTTTCACTGTGGTCCTTTGGTCTCTCCCAGGATGTGACCTACAACAGTTGACTAACAACCAGGTACCTACTTCCTTCATTTTATTACTTCTTCTCTTTCTCCAATCCCTGTCCCCTCCCACATATAAACTGGCTCCCTACCTTCACTTCTTTGTGAGACTAGTTAATGGTCTAAGTCAGACCAAAACAGCATCACAAGTTTCTCTCTCCTACAGTCAGGTTATTTGTGTATTCTTTCTGAATGAGGGCAACAGGTGTATATTAAATAAGGCTAGTTACAAATATGATAACAGTGATGACTACTACTACTTCTGTCACTGTGTAAGTTTATTTAGGTACAAGTACACATAAGTCACTAGTCATGATAATAACCTTAAAAATTAAAACAGCTAAATAATTCAACTGTGTGGAAATCAGTTACAATAAAAGGATGTGTAACAGGAATAAAGTGAACTGGGTTATGTATTTACACGAACATTAAATAGTTTTCTTCCTGAACTGTCTCATGCTAGGACGGGCTTTGACATGTGCAGGCAGTCCATTCCATTCTTCTATTGCTGCATAATAAGAGGTGTTTGAGGCCTTACCACCGACTGTAGGCACTACAAAATTGTGTTCACTTCTCCTAATACCTTACTGGTTTTGGTTCCTAATTTTGACAAACTTGGCAGCAAGATATTCTGTACAATGCTTGCCTGGAGAGGGTTTTGGGAGTTAATGCCCCCGCAACGTTGTGACCAGGGTTCGCAGTGGATCAGAGCCTGATCAACCAGACTGTTACTGCTGGCTGCAACCAAACTGATGTATGAACCACAGCCTGGCTGATCAGGTACTGCTTGTGAGCAATTTTATAAACAAGATTTAACTTGAGTTGCTTTACTCTGCCTTCAACATTCAACATATCCAGTTGTTGTAATTCATCTTGGCCTACATGCTCTCTTGGAACCAGGTCCAGGATGAATCTCACCATTTTGTTTTGGGTGATTGTAGCCTGTCTTTCATTTTTCTTGTTAAAGCAGATTACCAGAGTCCCTGTCTACAGAGGGACTTTAGCATGGCATTCACTTTTTTTATATTACATTGTTACTTATCAATTCTTCTGACATACTTAGGTCAAAGGGAATTCCCAGATATTTTACTGAAGACATTGAAGTGATGGGTTCCTCATTACACCGGACATTAACTGCATTTGCCCTTTTCAGTTTACTTTTTTGTGCCAAAGAGTAAGACTTGTTTTCCCGAGGTGCAGCAATACTTTGTTGTCTACTAACCCTTTGCTGCAAGATTCAAATTCTAGTAATAATACATTACTTATATCTTGTGGGTCTTTACCTGGGACTAGCAGAGCACTGTCATCTGCATACAACAGATTACACTTCGACACTGATGAACATGTCAGTCACATAACATAAAAAGAGTAAAGAGCTCAGAATATTACCTTGTAGAACCCACATGTTATTGGCAGGGGTTCTGATTCTGTATTATTGATCTTGACAATTTGTTTCCTGTTGCTCAGATAGGATTTAAACCAGTCTACAGAACCTATGCTGATAGCTTGTACTGTTGTTTCTTACATAATATGTTATGGTTAATTGTGCTGAATACCTTTTGCATGTCTAAGGTTACCATTCCTATGAAATTCCCTAGCGACATTTCAGTTCTCAGGCAGCCCATCAAATTAATGAGGGAGGTGAATGAGATCTTCTAAAACCTGACTGGAATCTATGGAGAATGTTTTTGTCATTAAGATACTTAACTACTTGACATTACACCGCCTTCTCTAGAATTTTGGACATCACACTGAGTATACTAACAGGCCTATAGTTGCTGACATCAGACCTACTATTTTTCTTGACGACTGGAGTAACTTTGGCTTCCTTGAACCCCTCTGGAACAGTACTGGTGGTGATGGACAAATTTACTGTGTGTGTGTAATGAAGACTGGCAATTCAGAGGTACGTACCATCTTTTAGGAATTTAGCTGGGATGTTGTCTGAACCAGTTCCTCTCATTGTGTTTAACTTAGTTCTTTTAACACGAAGTCATACGATACACCTACCAGTTGGAACTGTTTGTGTCTGGTGTTATGCCTGTAGGTCCTGTCACAACTATCAAGAAAGTGTTTTTGGTCAGGGTTAATGATGGAATTTAAGGTTCTGTAAATGTAGGTTGCACAGCAGTGGGGGGGGGGGTGTTACCCGGGATTGGATTGCGTGATTATTCTTACTGCGGCTTTTTGTTGGGTTATTATTCGCTTTAGGTGTATTGCTGCAGTTGATCCCCAAGCACAAAGAGTATAGGTGAGATAGGGATAAATGAGTGAATGGTATAGAGTGAGAAGAGCAGATTGTGGCACACAGTAATGTATCTAGGAGAGGATCCCAATCGCTTTGGATACTTTTTTTTATGTGTTGGATATGGGCGCTGAAATTCAGGTTGCTGTCGAGGTGCAGGCCTAGGAATTTGCCCTCATTATGTCTGGAAATAAGAGTGTTGTCCATCTTAATGTTAAGTTGTGCAACACCTGCTCTGTTACCAAACATAATATAGAATGTTTTGTCAGTGTTAAGTGTAAGTTTATTGGCTGTCATCCAAGTAGATATTTTGAGTGACTCATTGTTAACAATGGTGTTGAGGGAGGCAAGATTTGGGTGGGAGATGACATAAGTCGTGTCGTCAGCAAAGAGAATGGGTTTCAGGTGTTGCGATACGTTGGGAAGATCATTTATGTATAAGAGGAAGAGCAGGGGACCAAGGATACTTCCCTATGGTACTCCAGTATCAATTGGCCATGTTGATGAGGTTGTATCTTTAATGGTGACATACTGATACCTATTAGTAAGGTAGGATTTAAAATATGCAAGTGCATGGCCTCTTATACCATAATGGTTAAGTTTGTGGAGTAGGATGCCGTGGTCTACTGTGTCAAAAGCTTTTCTTAGGTCAATAAAAAGTCTTAATGGATATTCCTTATTTTCCATTGCTGTGTAAAGCAGGTCTAGTATTTTTACAATTGCATCATTAGTGTTTTTATTTTTCCTGAAGCCAAATTGGCAGGGGTTGAGTATGATTTGTGCTGTTATAAACGAATATAATCTCTTGTGCACAAGTTTCTCAAAGATTTTGGATAGCAATGGTAAGCTTGATACTGACTTGTAGTTGCTTACATCTGAGGGGTCACCACCTTTATATACTGGTGTTACCCTTGCTGTCTTGAGTAGTGTTAGGGAAGTGCTAGTTTCTAGTGACTTGTTAAAAAGTAATGAAATAGCATGGGAAAGGACATGGGCCGCTCGCTTGCACAAAAATGGTGGGACGTGAGACAGTTTCCCTGAATTATTTTTAAGTGACTTAATAATCGTGGTGACTTAAGTGGGCTCAGTAGGTGCAAGATAGAAAGAGTTTGGAAAATTCCCATCTAAGTAAGCATTTGCACGGGTGTTGGTACCTGCGATTTTACTGGCAAGATTAGATCCTGTGGTTGAGAAGAAGTCGTTTATCTTGTTAACTGTATCAATAGGCTGTAGTGGTGTTTCGTTCAGTTTAGTTAGGACAATATCCTTGGTTTTTTTTAGTTTGTGGGTTCCCAGAATCTGAGAGTTTTCTCCAGGTCTTTTTTATATCTCCTCTTGTTTCAGTGAATCTGCTGTAGTACAATTGTTTGGCTTTTTTATTAGTTTGGTGAGAACTGATGAATAGTGGTTAAGAATATCTTTGTGTATTAAGCCCTGTCTATATTGCTTTTCATATTGGTGTTTCTTATCAATGGATTTCAGAATGCTGCTGGTTAGCCATGGGTAACTGAGCCGTTTATTCGTGATCTGTTTCGTTTTTATAGGACAATGTTTGTTGTATAGTCTAAGTAATTTATTCAGAAATATATCTGTCCAATCGTCAATATCACTGACCTTGGAGAATTCTGTAAGTCAGTCAACTGTCTCTAGCTCTGCTGTGAAATTACTTACCGAGGCCTCATGACCTCATTTTCAATCTTTTACAAACCTATGTAGAATTTTATCAAAACTGAGCTACTGACCCTCATGCAAGAAAATCGCCACGGTATTGTGACTTATTATTTTTTACAAAGGCCTGAATAACTTCAAGATATAGTTGCTTTTGTATCTTACCGATATGTGCAGCGTGTTATTGTTGTTGTTGTTGTTGTGGTTTATAGGGCCACTGAGAGCGTACGCCGTACCGAGCTCTGTCTCCCAGCGCTCAGGACAAGAACCTCAACCAAGACTACCGCCCACGGGATGGGTATGGAGTGCATAATAGATATTAAACTAACTAGACCAAAGTGGAAGGAAGTTAATTAAGTTTTTATTCAAGTACAGGTGCACATAAATATAGTTACATAGATTATAGTACATAGTTCACGAGGAGAGCCAAAAGGTGCCTGTATACCCTGTGGCCTGGTGGCAAAAGCTCTCGCTTCACACACGGAGGGCCCGGGTTCAATTTCCGGCGGCTGGAAACATTTCGACACGTTTCCTTACACCTAGCAGCAAATAGGTACCTGGGTGTTAGTAGACTGGTGTGGGTCGCATCCTGGGGGAAAAGATTGAGGACCCAAATGGAAATAAGTTAGACAGTCTTCTTCTTCTTCTGTTGGGCTTCAGGGCCACTGACAGCACACGCCGTATCGAGCCCGGCCGTCCAGTGCTAGGAGAGGGAATATCGACCAAAGTGGAAGAATGTCTTGACTAATAACTGTGTATCATATATCTCTGATACGCCCTGAAGCCAGCAGGAAGGAGCAGGTACAGACCAATATCTCCTGATGGTCCAGAGGGCGAAACCCCTCCCAGTTGAGGAGGACAGGTAGAGTGAAAGTGTGCACCCCAAGTGTGCGCAAGGTGGCACAGAGAGTAGTCCGTGCAGGGTGATAACGTGGGCACCACAGCAGGAAGTGTTCCACCCTCTCAGGCTGTGAGGGACACCATGGGCAGTACGGAGAGTCCGTCATCCAAAGGCGATACAGATGAGCCGCTAGTCGCAAGTGCCCGACTCAAAGGTGGATCAGTGCAATGTCAACCGAGTGGTTGGGATGGTGAGCCCAAGGGCAAGGGCCATTAAAAGTTCGGACAGAGCCCAACGCCGAAGAAGAGAGGGAGTGTGCAAGGCCCTCTTGCCACTGATGACGGATTCCCTTCCAAACAGCCCTTGTGAAATCACTGTGGCCCAGGGCAAGAGGGGTAACAGTAGGAAGTGTGTGCACGAGGGAGGCCGCCCGATCTGCCACTTCATTGCCCCAGATTCCAACATGGGCGGGAACCCACTGAAGGGAGATGCTCCAACTTGGGCTCTGCAAGAAGTGCAGGAGGAGAGATTGTGTCCGACGAACGAGGACGCACAGTGATCGTGGACGGGCAGAGCACGAAAGTGCCAGGGAAAATTGGGAATCAGAGAAGAGGACCAATGGTTGTGGGGGAATGTGATCGAGGACAAAAGCCAGAGCCTGGTGAATGGCGAAGAGCTCCCCTGCCAGAACAGAATGAGCAGGGTCCAACCACCACGTTTGGCACAGGGAGAGATTAGCGAAGAAGGCCGCTGATGATGTAGAAGGGGGGTGAGGACCGTGCCGAGCCATCCGTGTAGACAGAGAATGAAGAGCCATATGTAACAGAGTGAAACTCTTCAAATAGAAATGCAACTAACTGAGGGGGTTCCCTGTTCCTGTAGAGCTAATCCAGGTGAATGTACCGTGTCAGGTCCAGCCAGGGGGGTGCCGGAGAGTGAAGAGGGGAGGGAGTCATCACAAGTGCAGGAAGAGTAAGGCAGGACAGGGAACGCTGTGCCCTGGCTACAAAGGAAGGCTGAGCCAAACGTGGGGGGACAGAGGCTGTCTCCCACATCTGTGAAGAGAGTCGACAGGGGCGAGTACAAGGCAGAGAGGCCATATGATGGAGTCATAAACAGTTCCTCGCTTTCCGCACAGACGAGAGAGGGACTAACCTCGACTCTGCCTCCAAGGCTGCGATAGGGGTGGAGGGGAATGCCCCCAGCATATTACGGATGGCTGAATTCTGGAGAATGTCTACTCTAAGCGATGAAGAGAGGAGGAAGAAGCCGAGCCATACACCTCACTTGCATAAGTGAGCTTGCTGCAAACCATAGCTATATAGAACTTATAGAGAAGGTCTCAATCCCCCCCACTTGGTGCCAGAGATCCAGCGCATAAGTGCAATGCGACGTGCACAGGAGAGGTGGAGGGCCGCTATGTGTTTCTTCCATGTCAAGAATGGCGCATCTAAGGTGACTCCCAACCAACGATGAGAAGAGACCAAAGGGATTGGCGTCTAGTTCAATGAGACTGATGGAAGAGTGGGGAGTTGGCGTTAGTGACACTAACCTCCAAACCCCAGGTGGTGGCCCATGATGTTATGCATTGCAGGGCACCCTGAAGTGTTTCCTGTGCTGTCAGTAAAGCTGGGGCACTGCACATAAGGGCCACATCATCCGCATATACCAGGGTATGCACTCCCTGGATGGAAGGAAGATCCGACAATAAGACAGAAAAGGTGTGGGCTAAGAACAGATCCCTGGGGCACTCCCCGGTATACAGGACAGGGTGAGGACAAAGCGCCACCCACTGCTACATGAAAGGTCCTCCCTTGCAAAAAGTTGCACATCCAGCAGAGGGGAGCTCCTGTCAGCCCCATGCGGGCCAGCTTGAAAACAATTGCTGTGTGTGATACAGAGTCAAATGCTCTGCATAGGTCCAAAAATGCAGCCAAAAGGAACTCCCGGCATTCAAATGAAGTGTGCACAAGCTGTGTAAATTGAAGCAAAGGGTCGAGGGTGGATCGACCTTCTCGGAAGCCACTCTGGTTATCAGGAAGGAGGCCATGTTCCTCAGTCCACCAAGAGAAACGAGTAGCCACCAGTTGTTCCAGCACCTTACCCAAGCAGGGCAGTAGAGCAATGGGCCGGTAAGAGCTCAGTTGGGTATCATCCTTGCCCGGCTTTAGAATCGGAATCAGAAGAGAGTGTTTCCACATATCAGGGAAGACACCTGTATACCAGCTGGTATTGAAAACCTCCAGCATAGCTTTTGTACAGGAGGGAGGTAGATGTAGTATAAATGAATAGGGTAAGTTGTCCTCCCCTGGAGAAGAGCGGGAAGAAAGTTGGGAAAGTGCCCGCTGCAGTTCATGGGAGCTAAAGGGAGATGCCAGCACCTGGCAGTGAACCTCGGGTACGGCAGGTGGCAAAGGGCCCCATTTGATCATCTTAGAGGGTAGAGGAGGAGGAGGAGAAAACATAGGACCAAAGAAATTTGCAAATGTCTCAGCCTTGTCCTGGGGTAAGAGTGGAGTCGCTCCTTCCCCCAGCAGGGAAAAAGTACTTACAGAACGTGATCCCAACATGGAGTGGAAGAAACCCCATGCCTGACTGGCAGAGGTGTGAAAAGAAAGAGAAGAACAGAATAAACCCCAGGATGCACGTTTCGCTTGGAGGAGGGTTCGCCGACAAAGAGCGTCTGCCCTTCGGTAAGCCAACTTCTGAGTCCAAGAGAGTTGGCGCCGCCACCATGCCCACACTGTCCGATGTGCCTTCACTGCTCAGAGGCACTCATCATTCCACAATGGAACCCGGGGGCATGAACGGGAGAAGCTCCCGGAGAGACAGAATGAATGTGAGCCCGCCTCAAGCATGGCCCCTTGCAGAGATGCGACAGCCTCGTCCAGCAAGGAGTCCTGAGGCAGGCTGTAATCAGCAAGGGCCCGATTGTAGTTTGTCCAACCAGCCTGGGTGATTTTCCACAGTGAACGAACTGCCGTCACTGGCACTGCTAAGGCTTCATTTGTAGAAGTAAGGACTGGAAGATGGTCATTCCCCATGAAGGGGCCTACAGTAACAGTAGCTGTAGTAAAATATCCACACCCAAGAACGAGGTCTAGGGTAGAAACTCGCCTGGTATAAGGATCCACTCTAGTCTCCAAACCTGGTGGTGTGAGCAACGAAAGGTGAGATGCGAGGAGGGTCTTGAACAGGGCCCTACCTGTGGGATTCACCGATCCCAAAGAAATGGATGGCTCCCAGAACTGGTGCCTTGCATTAAAGTCTCCTATCACCAGCGTAGAACCATGGAGTTGTCCAAAGTAATATGTAAATTCACTTTGTGTAACCGACCTGCCCGGATTATAGATCAGGAGTATTGTTGTGATAGAAACACAGGCCTTATCTCTAGGCTTTATTGAACATAGAATCTTCATAGTACTTCTGCAACAACAAAATATAATGACTAGTACATCTAATAACTGCTTCTACAGGGATGGTGATGTCTTGCATATGTCAAGAGAAAAGTTATAACTACAGGCCACATATTTAAACTCACCATGTAATCTGCATCACTAATATATTGATGTAAAAGAAGAGAATCACACACCATGTGTTGGCGCCCATGACACACACCAAACTGTTGTTGTTGTTAAGGGCCCCGAGAGGTGGTGCAGTATTATCCTGTTGCTGCTCGCCACAGGAGCAGTATCACTACAATCTCCCCCTTCTAAAATATCAGAGACAGTAATGTCCCAAACTGTTAGGTGGGCGACGTACACGTCCCAACCTTCGTAGCCCTTGAGCCTCTTCACCAGGTTCAATATTTTCCAGCGGGGTTTGACTAACTGCTGGAGCAGAATCCTCTATTTCTGTAGGGGTAGTCTCAGGGGGGCTTTCCAGGAGAAAACGAAGCATCTTTCACATCTATTGGTGTATCTTGAGATTCCACACTAATGGGGATTTCAACTGGGGCTAAATGTCTTATAGATACTGTAGTCTCTTCACCATTTTGGTAGCGAATATGGGCGTAATGTGGATTAGCTTGCAGGAGCTCTACCTCTTCCACTAAAGGATCCGTCTTGTTCATCCTACGGTGACTCTTCAGGAGAACGGGTCCAGGATGACATAACCAAGTGGGCACGGAGGCTCCCGTAGAGGAACGACGTGAATAGTTGAGGAGTCTTTCATGAGGAGTTGCATTTAGCTGTGCACAGCAATGATCTAATAGAGTGAAGAGCATCAGGTAGGACAGTTTGCCAGTGTTCAACAGGTAGATTGCGCGACTTCAATGTCATTGTAACTGCCTTCCATATAGTACCATTGAACTGCTCCACTTGACCATTGCCTTGAGGGTTGTAGCTT